AAAAAAAAAACTAGGGATTTATCATATGGACGTGGACGAACAGCTCCAGCCAGAGTTGCTGAATTGCCTAAAATTAATACAACTGAACCTTGGGATGGAAAAAATGGTGAATTACCCCAAGTAGAAGATATTGATTTATCAGATGTTGAATTAGATGGTCCTTCTAAAGAAGAATTATAAAAACTGTTATACTAACTCTATTTATTTATTTTTTTAAGACTGAACAAGTTCTATATAAATATTAATATCTAACCACTCGGTCCTATGACTTTTCATTAGTCTAAAACAGCTATTTTCAAATCAATCCTATTTTAACAAAAATCATTTTAACAATAATCCCACTTTTCCATTATAATTTAATGTTAAGTAGAATTTTGTAATATGAAAATCAAATTTAATTATACTTCCATAGTTGAAATTAATTAAGTATTAGAATATTAAATTTTTTTTGTATTAAATGAAAAAAAAAAATTAGTATAATTTTTATTTTATNTATTAAAAGAAAAAAAAAAATTAGTATAATTTTTATTTTATAAAAATAACTCGTTATTTATTCTAAGTCTCTTCCATATGTTATAACAATGATATAAAAACATTTAAACTAAACTAAATTTAAAGATTTTAAATATTTTTAAACTAATAGTTTTGCCTAAAACAATTAAAAATATTTTTATGGCTATTATACCTATTTAAACTTTTTCTAATTTCTCTTTACTTATATTAAATTATTTTATAGTTGGTGTAATATTTAAAGTTGAATGTTAATTTTATATATCTAAAATAAATTCTCAAAGTAATGTGCCAACTATATCCATTAATTAATCCCAATAATAAAATAATAATAATAACACTTAGAATTTTATTTTAATTATTCATTGAATGGATATCATTTAACTCAGTGTAAAATTAAAATAAAACAATAAATTTTTAAACAGTGCATATTTTTATTTAAGCTCCCAATTTTATTAAATTGATATTGATTAATATGAAGTACATTTTAATTTGATTCTTACAAAGTTTTTTTAATTAAATCATTTTTTTCACAATTTTATAGCTCAATAAGACATGAAGAGTAGGTTACTTAACCATGGATAATTTAGAATATGTGGTTTAATACTTGTCTTGCTTAGCAAACGGAACTACTCGTAACCAAGTCTCAAACCTAAACTTACGTACATCAGATAGTGCCGCATACCAATTAGACAACACCTCCCTCTAAGTTATATGATACTTAATGAATTATCAAATTAATCAATTACTTTAAAGTAGAGGTGAATAAAAAAAGTTAATTTTTTTAAATAAAATATGTTTTTAATTTTAAAAATAGAACAGTATGTATAATAAATAATTGATGTATCAAAAATAACTAATTAATAATAATAATTTTTTTTTAAATTTAGAGTATCAAACAATTAAAGAAAAATTAATAAAATAAAATTACTCATAAGTAAATGCTATGATATATATAATTAATCAAACTTAATATGTGCTGTACGCATATCATCAACTGTTCCTTCCACAATCAAATTTCTGTCGTCATAATACCGTAGTAAACTTTTCCACGTAGGGTTTTTAACCAAAAAGTTAGCGTTACCAACTAAAAAAAGACCAAACTTTGCACGCGTAAGTGCCACATTTAGCCGACGGACACAGTTCAGGAAACCAACGACGTTTCTCTCGTTCGAGCGGACACACGATATAATAATGTACTCCTTTTCACGGCCTTGAAAAGCGTCCACACTACTGACTTCCACCCCTTTGTTCTTGTTTAGAATTTGTTTCAAAAGTGATCGCTGTCCTTCATATGGAGTTATAACACCAATTTGATTTGGAGTAGCTCCTTTGCTAAGGAGTTTGGCTACTAGTTGTTCAACAACTTTCGCCTCTCCATAGTTCAAGAAAGACGTGCCCGATCGCGATTTTCGTTCGTTGGCATCGGAAGAGTAAAATACCATCGGCACATTTGGGTTAGGCCACGTGAAATCAATCGACCCAGTTCGGTCGCTACAAGTTACGCCGTTCCTAATCGTACTCTCGTACATAGTTTGTGAAGCGTACTCGCTGATCTCGGGGTGCATTCTGTACTGTACAGTTAAACGAAATGGTTGTAGGCCAGCAGCTACCAATCTCTCGAACAGAGAACGATGCAGACCTCCGTTTCTAGTGTCCGGACACGTAACAACCGGCCCCAACTGACAGTGGTCACCTATTAACACCACTTTTTTGGCTCCGTGGGTGATTGGAATGATGCATTCCGGTTCTAAGCCTTGAGCGCATTCATCCACGACCACCGAAGAAAAATTGATTTTTTCTAAACGGTTGTCGCCGGCGCCGGAGCAAGTTGTGCACACCACTCGACAATTCGCTAGACAGTCGATTTCCGCCATTCTTCTCAGATAATTGTAGTCCCTTCTCTCATTTGGGCTCAACTCGACACCTTGATCAATCTGCCCTTGAAGAGTTTTAAATTCTGAATGACCAGCAAGCTTTTTAATTTGTTCACTAAGATATATATTTGAAAGATCACTTTTAACCGTCTCTTTCGTTTTTTTCACGAGTCTCACGACATCGATGCCTGTTTTAGCCACGGCATTTGCCAAGTTATCAACAGCGTTGTTCGACGGTGCACAAACTAATACGGTTCCGGACTTGGACAGATTGTATACAATATTGGCACAAGTAACCGTTTTTCCAGTACCGGGAGGCCCTTGGATTAGAGAAACTGGCGTGCGTAGGGCATGGCTCACAGCAGACATCTGTGACTCATTCAAACCAGGTAAATTGGGAGCTAATAGGCTGTTCNACCAGGTAAATTGGGAGCTAATAGGCTGTTATCTGTCAGATTTTCGTCACGTTCGGGTGAATGTTGTTGTTGACGTCCGAGCAACATTGATCTTACTTCAGGTGAAACAGATTCGTACTTGTAAGAAAAAGTAGCAAGTGCCCCTTCCATCCGAGTGTAAGGGGTTTTATCAAATGACTTTTTTAAAGTTGCCGGTGTCCCAATTGGCAAGTCGAATGAAAAATTTACTTCTACATCAACAACGCTCATGAACTGGTCGAAGTTCGTAACAATTCCTTTTATGGCGTTGGTCATTTTTGGACTTGAAATCCATAATTCTTCGTCAACTACAAATACATTATTTTTACTACTCATTTGAAAACGTACTTTTGATTTTTTATTGTAGTTTTGAGAGCTAACGATTTTGCATTCAAACGAATGTTTTTCGCCCAGTTTTAAATTGTACGAGCATTCAGCACTTATTAATGGCTGGAAAAAATGCCCGTATTTTTTTGACGAAGAAAATACACAGGGGATATTTGTTGGAGGGACAGTTGAATGCGGAGAACATGGCGATGGTAGTTTATCATCTTCAGCGTTCAGTTCATTAATTTGTATGACTTTTGTTTCCGTTTTCTCAAAAAGTGTACAGTAATCAATAAGTTTCAACAGTGTTATGACAACAGCACAATACATTGCCATTGTCCTGATGAAGTCATTTTCTGTAATGAAATAAATTCCACACCAAAATACGAGATGGTAAATTTTCCACATAACCTTTGACTGCATACTGGTAGCAAGAGATGTTCTTGATGTATTTAATTAAAAAAAATTTAAGCACTTAGTATGAAGTTAGAATAACGAAAAATTGTCACGTTTATATTTAATTTAAAAAAGGTTACATTTTGAAAGTGTTCCACTCCTTTTATATGAAAAATTTTGTCATATAGTGGCCAGCAAAAAAATAAAAAAGTATTCTTTTTGGCCAACATCATTTTTTTAAGGAGCCAAAAAAGTGTTCTAAAATAACAACTAAGTAAAAAAAAATTGTTTGATTTATTAATTATTTATTTTACAACAAACATGCAGTTTGATCGAGGCTTTAAATTATGCAGTACTAATCTAAACTTTGAATAAAACAAGCTTTTCAAATTAGAAAATATTCAATTCATTAAATCTAATTTTAGTATAATAAACACCTAGCAAAAAATATTTGTTTATTTTTCTTCGTGGTATTATGAATTCTAATTAATTTAAGGGAATTTTTCAAATATTTTACTTATATAGTTTTTTTACACTAAGTTTTGCTTTAGAAAGTTAACGAATTAGCAATATTATTAAAATAAAAAAAAATTTTAACTTTTAATAAATCTTAAAAAATATTGTTTTTTTTACAAAAAGTAAATTTCATGTTGTTTAATTGCTTTGTCATGTTTTTGCATTCAACTCGTAAACATTATGTTTTAGAATGTTTTCGTAGAGAATAAGCCTAATTTATTTAAACCTTTAGTAAGTTTTTATTCAATATTAAAATAATTGAATTTCAAAAGTGAAAGTAGATTGTACATCTATTTTAAAACCACAAGGGTTTTCTTTATAAAGAATCTTTTAAAAATTACATATTTTCATTTTTAGTAGGTGTAATGAAATTAATTCATGTCAAACAACATATCAATTAATACTTGAAAAGTTATATTATTAGTACTATCTGCTAAATAAACTGAATCATTAAAATTCAAAGTGGTATAAAATAAATTAAATCAAATGAATTTTCGCAAAATTCCATCCAAATTTGATGAAAGTATGCTATTAACTCTGTCAAATATTTATTATGTTAATTAAATGGAGTTAATTTTAAATTTTAACAAGAATATAAATTTTTCAGTTGTTGCTATAGAATAAGCCAATTAAAATTAATAAAAAATGTATACAAACCAAATTGTATGATTTATAAAATGTCATAAATTTTGTAATATTTTTTGATAAATGTTAGTAATAAAAAAAATTACAGTTGTAAAGTTAATGTAAAATAATTTTAATATTTTATTTTATTATATTTTTTTTTTTTTTCGGGCTTTTACGAGCCATTTAGACTCTTGGCCGCCAAAACTACTTCCTTCCATCGTTCTCTATCATATGCCTGCTCCAAGTCCACTCCAATTTCTTCTAATAATTCCTTGACGCTGTCCTTCCATCTTTTTCGCGGTCTTCCCCTTGGTCTTTTTCCGCTTACCATATATGTCATTGCTCCTTTCAATATACTTCCATCGGCCCGCCATGCGTGGCCTGCCCATTCTATCCTAGTCCCTCTGGTGAATTGGACCACATCTTCTCTTTTGTAAAGCTGGTACAGTTGGGCGTTTGTTCTTATTTCCCATTTCTGTTCTGTATTGTTGAATACGGGTCCATAAATTTTTCTAAGAACTTTTCTCTCAAATAACCGTAGTTTTTCATCATCACCTCTCGTTGTTGCCCATGTGGCACATGCATATGTCAATATAGGGCGGATGTAACTAACGTATAGATGTTCTTTTGTCTTCCTTGACAGTAGCTTAGATTTAAAGAGGGTTTTCAGTGCATAAAGGCATCGGTTAGCAGCGCCCAGTCTGATATTGATCTCTCCATGCATGTTGTTTTGGTTATTTAGGGTAGACCCAAGGTACTTGAACTCTTGTACTTGTTCAAAGGTGTTATTTCCGACGTGGAGGTTGTTATGGTCACCCCCTCCTCGCTTCACCACCATGTATTTAGTTTTACCACTGTTGATTGTCAAGCCAATACCTTTTCCCACCTTTATCAGTTCTTCGACAGTATTCTGAATACCTTCTCGCGAATTCCCAATAACCACTATGTCGTCTGCATATGCTAGTAAGACATTTCCTTCGTCAAGGTTTAATGTCTCAGTTCGTGGAACCTTTCTTATCACACTCTCCAATGCCAAATTGAAAAGCACTGGTGACATCGCATCCCCTTGCTTCAATCCACTATTTATTATAAACGAAGACGATACCTCGCCGTTCACCTTGACTCGGCTGCTGGTGTATGTGTTACATAGTTTCACCATGCTGATCAATTTGTTTGGCAAACCAAAGTCTTTAAGAATTTTCCATAGTTTTCCTCTATTTATGCTATCATATGCTTGTTTGTAATCCACAAAAACCATATGTAGATCTTTCGCGAACTCATAACTTTTTTCCATAATTTGTCTTATGACAAATATATGATCAGTAGTTGATTTATTTTTTCTAAATCCGCTTTGGTAATTACCCACTATCTCATCTGTATAAATTTGTAGTCTTTTAAGTATGATTAATGAAAGTACCTTATACCCAGTGTTCAGTAGTGTTATTCCTCTATAATTCTCTACTTTTTTTCGGTTACCTTTTTTGAAAATTGGACATATCAATGATTCATTCCAGTCTTGTGGTATCTTTTCCTTTGTCCATATCTGTTGAATTAGATGATGTAATTTTTGTGTTAGGTTTTGTCCTCCTGACTTCAATAATTCAGCTACAATTTTATCATCTCCTGGTGACTTATTATTTTTTAGAGTCTGGATTGCACACTGTACCTCTTCTAAACTCGGGTTTAATACTTCTGGTTCAACTGTATAATGTATGGTGTCGTCTTGTTCGCCTACTTCTTCCGTTGTTGAGCCATTGTTAAGAAGTTTTTTAAAGTACATTCTAAATTCCTCGGCAATTTTTTCCGGTCTTGTAATTAGAGCACCATTATTATCTTCTATCATATGTATAGCTGGTATATATCCATTTTTAAATGTTTTGCACCGTTTGAAAAATTCTCTGGGGTTGTGTTTGAAGTTTTCAATCTCCTCTAATCGTTCTTTTTCGGCTATTCTCTTTTCCTTTCTTATCAGTGTAGTTATTTCTCTTCGTTTTTCCTGGAAGGCCCTTAAGTTCTCGGGGGTTGGTGTGTGGATAGCTTTGATTCTGGCTTCATTGCGTTCCTTGATTCCTTTCTTGCAATTGTCATTAAACCATTTCTTTGTTTTCTTTCTTTGTGTATGTTGAATGACTTTTTCTGCGGATTCGGTTATGGAGGTTTTTATTACTTTCCATGACTCCTCAACCTGTTCATTATCTACTCCCTCTCTTTTTTTTCCTAATACATTAGTCACTGTTTCTTGAAATGTCCGTAATGTTTCTTCATTTCTTAATTTATCCACATCGTATTTTCCGAGTATTTTTTGTTTCTTTTTCCATTCCATGGATATCTTTACTCTGAAGTCAATCAGGATCAAGTAATGATCTGTGTCTGCGTCTGCTCCTCTGTAGCTTTTGACGTTTTTTATAATCGTCTTATATTTATTTTCTATGAGGGCATGATCAATTTGGCTACTATATCTTCCTCCTGGAGATAACCATGTTTCTTTATGAATATTTTTCCTTGGAAATCTTGTACTGCTTATTACCATATTTTTACTTATTGCAAAATTAATTAATCTTATTCCGTTATCATTGCTTTGGTCGTGTAGACTATGTTTTCCAATCGTCGCTTTGTAAGCATTTTCTTTTCCCACTTGGGCGTTCAGATCTCCCAATAATAATTTAATGCAATGGCCTGGTAAGGCGTCATATACTTGTTCCAACTCTTCATAAAAGGCATCTTTTGCTTCTTCATTTCCTGATTCGGTTGGTGCGTATGCGCAAATTATTACCATGTCCCGGTGGTTCATATTGATCCGAATGTAACATATTCGGTTATTTATAGCCTTAAATTGCTTAATCCATGGTATTAGACTATTGTGCACGAGAAAACCCACCCCATTTTCACGCTTATTAGCCGTTAGACCACCATAGTATAATGTCATGTTACCTGTTGGTATACATCCTTCTCCTTGCCATCTCGTTTCTTGTAGCGCTACTAAATTTGCCTTATATCTATTTATTGCATCGACTAGTGTACCAAGAGCTCCTGCTTTATATAAAGTTCTTACGTTCCATGTGCCAATCC